GCGCATTTCTGTTCACGTGCGCACGAGTGAGTCAGAGCCACACCACCCCACCCCCATCCTCGTGTGCCGAAACGGCCTTCATAGGTGATGCTCGCTAACAGCACTTGCCCCGACAGTCGTGAAGGCTATATACTGGCGGGCGGGGGTCTTTATCTTTGTTTGTCACAGCCGTTCCCTGTTACCTTGGGGTGTAACGGGAATGTTCACTGCCCTCCTGCACTATTTAATATCCTGGGCCGCGTAGTTCGAAAAGCTTGATATGGCTGTCCTGGAGGAATTTCCCTCTGGTACAGATACAATGGGACGACTGAGCGATGCCCGGGTGTTGTTAAGGGATAGCTCCCTATTTATTAGTCAACCATGTTATGTAATAAGAATCTGCCTGGGTGGGTATTTTTGTATAATCAAATGCCCACCCCCTCTATCCCCCATTAATGATGGGACAGTTGTGGAGGAAAGTGGAGAAGTTTTCGTACCTGGGAATTTGTACTGATGGCCAACTTAGGTTTTGTAGTGGAGGTCTCACTCCGAATCAGTCGAGCGGCATCATTGTTACAGTAGCTGCATAACGCTGCGTAAAAGCTGCGTGGTCTATTGCTCCGTACGAAGCTCAGGATCTTCTCGGCCACAGTTATGCTTGCAAGACATGGCGCCTTTCAAATGAACATCTGCGCCGGGTTGAAACATTCAAGCTGGCCTGTCTATGATCCATCCTGGTTTTAACCAGACTGGATTATGTGAGTAACTCACACATCAATCTTGATTTGAAGCTTTCGTGACTGCAGGAATACATACTCTTTGGTTCTTTCGGTAAAGTCACGCAACACAAGCGATCGAAACGTCGGTGATTTATTTTATTTTATTTCTAACCACGTGACTTAACTCGCACATCCTGGGAAATCTGGACTCATTCTCCCATCAGTGATCCGCTTCGGCAGGGCAGGCTGCGTTGGCTGTTCGACGTAGCCTGTAACACCCGGACACCGCATGCCCGCTGGCTAGAGAAGAGATGGACCGATGTGGTACGAAATATGTGGAGCTGATTGGGCTCGCCGATGACTGATACCATCGGTGGCAGGATCGGCTTGTGTCGAGGTCGGCTTCAAACGACGCTGCCGGCCAATTGCTGGGCGGAGGAGCGACGCTCACAACAACGAGCGCAGCGCCAGGTGCCAGTCGGGAGCACAGGTGGTGGCATCTGTCAGTCATCTCGGTCATCTCTGTCATCTCAGTCAGTCAATCCACAGGACCTGGTGTCTACATTGTGACATCCTGCTGGCGAGCCTTGGACGCTTCACGTGATAGCCTTTAAAGTGCACCTAGCCGGGCATGAACGCTGTGGTGACGTCACCTACCACGTAGTGGTGAGCGGTGGCTATTGTTGTTGTTGTGTTGTTCTTGTTGTGTGCACGTGTGTGTGTGTGTGGTGCTCCGCACTCAACCAAACCCGGCCACCCAAGTTCGATTCCCTTTCAGTGACGATTATTTGAACCGGTCCTGAGCTTCCCCTCCGTCGACTCAGCCTCAAATTAGTACCTGTTGCGGGGTGTAGTAAACATCAACCACTGGGGAGACAAAGGCGACCGGGCGTGGTGCTGACCACCCACCCTCTCGCGTGCTGTACCGGTCGTCCAAGGTGCTCGCTAACAGCCCTTGCCCCAAGAGTCTGTTAAGGCTACACGGGGGATCTTTGTTTACGTGAGCGTGTGCCTTTGTGGGCTTTCTATGTTCTCGCTCCGGGTTCTCCAGTAGCTAAACACAATCTACAGTCTGTTCTCCTATAACGCGGTGGTGGCTGCGTTCCTGAAGAATAACACCGCGTTATGGAAAAATCGCGTTGTAATAAGCGTTTGGTAAAGTACCGTCTGCGCTAACACGTGAGCTGCGTGTGCAGGGCGAACGAAGACTGCGACGGCCGTGGGTAGCGTCGAGAACAGTTGGTTCTTAACCTTTACTGCAGCCTGCACCCCTTTGGTACTCAATCGTAAAAAAAAATTGTACAATATTAATAAACACACCAGGGTTTGATGAAACAAATTAAGTTGTTGTTACTTACCTGCTCGCGCTTAATTTGTGTTTTCGATAAACTTTTTAACTTCTAAAAAAAAATCTGGCCACGTCTCGCCTCCCCCAGAGGGTGCGTGCCCCCCAGGTTAAGAACCACTGAGTCTAGAAGCATCCAGCAGCATCCCAATGCCTTGTGCGATGATGCTACGCCGAAGCAGCCCATAGCACACAATTAAACTGGTTTGGACCAAACTCTCCTAATGATCCATAATATAGGTTTTTTTGGGGGGGGATAGATCGTGTAACTATAAGTGTGTCGTTAAACCCGCCACCACCCGACACAGCCAATTCTTGAGGTTTGTCGCGTAAACAAATGTGCAAATTCGTTTCCTCCAATTCACCCAATTGGGATCACACAAAGCAGCAACATCGCCCCGTAAAAGCATTTAGACTCGGTGAGGTTTTTTATGGGGAAAATGCGTAAAAATACGAACAATGACGATTATAGCATTGGTTCTTTTGGTAAAGTCACGTAGAAGGGAAATAAAATAGTGATAATTTTATTGGAATCCCTACAGTCACGAAAGCTTTAAATAAAAAATAATGATGATGATAATCATCATTGTAGGTATTACTGCTGCAAATGATAAAATGTCAACTCGTTCACTGCACAGGAGCGAGGATGACTGAGAGGGAGAGAGAACGACTCAGAGAGGACGACACACAGAGAGGACGACTCAGAGAGAGTGAGAGGGCGACTCAGAGAGAGAGGGCGACTCAGAGAGAGAGAGGATGACTCGGAGAGAGAGAGGACGACTCGGAGAGAGAGAGAGAGGACGACTCAGAGACGCCAGCAGAAGGAGGAGAAACCACAGACGAGCGGGAATGCAGCGGCATCCACGCAGTCAGGAGCCGGCGAGAAATCTCTTCCCCCAAGCTCTGCGGTCCTCTGTATATGACGGTGCTTATTATACACGTGGGAGGAAACTCGGGCGTTTAGAGAACACGTATACGTGCGAGAGGGCCACGCGATTTTCAGTTTTTTTACACATCCCATCAGCCGCACGGCCTTCTGGGAGAATGCGGATGGCGAGATGTTAACTACCTCGCCTGTTATGCCGGAGATTGTGAGTTCGATCCCGACCCTGACGCCTGCTGCTGTATATTTTAATTGGTGGTGTCTCTCTCTCCTCTCTCTCCCCATGGTCGCGTGGATTTTTCTCCAGGGTCCTGCGGTTTTTCCCCTCGACATTTCGAAACAACGTCACCACGCGTTCAGAGTCTTTGGCTGCTCGAGATTCCCACGTGATGGTGATGATGATAAGGGGCCGTCCATAAATGACGTCACGCGATTTTGGACGATTTTTGACCCCCCCCCCCCCTCGTCACACAGCGTCACAAAAAAAGTCAGACCCCCCCCTCAAAAATGACGTCACAAAGCCCCCCCCCCCAAAAAAAACATGCTTCAAATCGCTTTAAACTATTGCCTATTTCATTAAGTAGAACGTGTTGTCTATATTTATTTAAAGTTGCGCATTTTGATGTGACGTCACATTTCTTAACCCCCCACCCCACCCTCGTCACACATCGTCACAAATGTCTGACCCCCCCCAACCCCCCCTAGGTACTTGACGTCATTTATGGACGGCCCCTAAGCCGTCAACTTCGTTGAGTTACAATGTAGCTCAGTGGGGCCGCCTTTACCTAGTAAAATAAAAAATAGTTAATAGCTAAATTGTTAATAGTTAATAGTAAAATAGTTAATAGTTAAATAATTAATAGTTAAATAGTTAATAGTTAAATTGTTAATAGTTAATAGTTAAATTCTGGTGGTACGCAGTCTGATATCTCTCTCTCTGTGCAGTTGTAGAGCAAACCCCCCTCCACTGACCCCCAGTAGCTCTGTGTGAGCCCCCCAAAACCCCCACAGCCCCCCGCCAGCCTCCCCCGAGACCCCCCCCCCGAGCCGAGCGCTCTGAGACCGCGTGGCTGCCTCCGCGAGGAGCGGGCGCGGCTCGCGACCTCCATTGTGATGCCACTCCACCTGAGTGTGTGCACGTGCGTGTGTGTGTACGTGTGTATGTGTGTACGTGCGTGTACGTGTGTGTGTGCACGTGTGTGTGAGTGTACGTGTGTGTGTGTGTGTACGTGTGTGTGTGCGCACGTGTGTGTGTGCGCACGTGTGTGTGTGTGTACGTGTGTGTGTACGCGTGTGTGTACGCGTGTGTGTGTGTGTGTTCGTGTGTGTGTACGTGTGTGTGCACGTGTGTGTGTACGTGTGTGTGTACGCGTGTGTGTGTGCACGTGTGTGTGCACGTGTGTGTGTGTGTGTACGTGTGTGTGTACGTGTGTGTGTGTACGTGTGTGTGCGCACGTGTGTGTGTACCTGTGTGTGTGTTCGTGTGTGTGTACACGTGTGTGTGTACACGTGTGTGTGCACGTGTGTGTGTGCGTGTGTGCGTTCGTGTGTGTGCACGTGTGTGCACGTGTGTACGTGTGTGTGTGTACGTGTGTGTGAGCACGTGTGTATGTGCACGTGTGTGTGTACACGTGTGTGTGTGCACGTGTGTGTGTGTACACGTGTGTGTGTGTGCGTTCGTGTGTGTGTGTATGTGTGGGGAGCGGTCGTGTAGCGGTTAGCGCGCTGCGCTAAGAACCTGGCGACCCGGGTTCGATTCCCGCTCACGGCCAACACCAGTGACGATTTCCTGAACTGATACTGGGTCTCCCCTAGGTCGACTCAGCCTCAAAACCTGGTGCGGTGCGTAAAAAACATCGCCACTGGGGAGACAAAGGCGTTCGGGCGTGGCGCTGGCTCCCCATTCCCTCGTGTGCTTCCGGCTTTCATAGCTGCTACTCGCTAACAGCACTTGCCCCAATAGTCTGTTACAAGCTATAAGGGGGATCTTTGTCTTTGTCTGTGGGGGGGGGGGGTATTTGGGCGGTCCGACGCCCTATGTAAGCCATGGGGTGCCGCTCAGCTCCCTACTCCGTCTCTACTCTCATTCCTCGACACCCTCCCCTCCACCACGGAGCTCACCTCCACACACAGGTGAGTGAGTTGTGTGTGAGGGTTGTGAGTGAGGGTTGTGAGTGAGTGAGTGGTGTGGGTGAGTGAGTGGTGTGGGTGAGTGAGTGGTGTGGGTGAGTGTTGTGAGAGTTGTGAGTGTTGTGAGGGTTGTGAGTGAGTGGAGTGAGGGTTGTGAGTGCGTGGTGTGAGTGTTGTGAGTGAGTGGTGTGAGTGTTGGGACCGATAACTAATCGCAGTGTATGACATTATAAAACATACAATCCGCAACATTTTGGGCAATGGACCTCGTGTGTTATGAGTAAGAGCTATTTTCTGAAGCGTCGCCTATTATTTTTTCTTTTCAAGACCACACGGTTTTTACCGCTGCACGTGTTGAGTTGATATTATCTGTGCCAACGCAGCAGCATCGCTATAATTTGTGCATTAGAGAATGTTGTTGCCTCCATCTGGTACCCATTATCTAAAGAATATGTTGAACGTCTTTCCGTACGTAGACAACCGTGATAATTAATCGGAGGGGGCGCGGGAAGGGCAATAAACTAACACGTAACAATTCGTTCTTAAGAAATTAGTTTTCAATATATGCGAGTCTGTGGGTCTCGACGTGAGTATATGGGTCTCTGTGTGAGTCTATGGGTTTCTATGAGTCTATGGGTGTGTATGTGGGTGTCTGTGTGTGCGAGTCTGTGGGTCTATATGTATGTATGTTGAACTTCTTTCGCACCGTACATAGCCAACCGTGCTTATCGGTGGTTGCAGGGGTTTGGGGAAGGACAACAAACTCGGCACAACAATAAGTAGTTCTAAAGATTTAAAAGTGCACAGATCCCAGTGGCTTTCTAATTTTGCAGAATTATTTGAGTTGAAGTGCGATCCATTGTTTTAATATTTTAATAATCAGGATACTATCTTGATTTGAAGCTTTCGTGACTGCAGGAATCCATACTCTTTGGTTCTTTAGGTAAAGTCACGTAGGTAGAAAAATAATATAACACGACGTTTCGATCGCAACACAAGCGGTCGTTTTATGGCGGAAAAAATAATTATTTTTTCCACCTGCGGACGACAGTTTGTGTTGCGATCGAAACGTCGTGATATATTATTTTAGTTTTATTTATGTTTTCTGTATATTTGGAGTTTTCGTCTCTCTCTCCCCGTGGTCGCGTGGATTTTTATCCGGGTCCTCCAGCCTTTAACCTCCACATTTAGAATCAACATCACGCGATGAGAGTGATTTGGCTGCTGCTATAAATTTCTACACGATGATGATAAGACCGCTTCGTTGAGTGGTGGCGGCGGGGTTTAACAACACTTTCATATTTACGCGATCTAACCCAAAAAAGCTATTATGGATAATGATTAAAATTACAGGAACACAACAATTTTTTTAGGTTGGTGCGGGAGGGGGGGGGGGCATTTTGATTTTAGTTGTAGGGTAGTTTAACCAGGATAGTTTACCTAACTTAACTTAAATAACAATTATATATTAAGATCGACCAACTTGCACTTAACGCTTGCCCGCCGTGAGAGTTAAGCAGACGGCGCGCAGCTTGCAGTACTTTGACGCTTAATTTCTCACAGCCGCGGTTATTAAACCAGGGTGGCCCGCCACGTGCGGTTCCAACAGCGAACGCCTGACCACGTGGGCCCCACAAATCTTTGGGCCGCCACGGTGATTCGGAGATGTTAACTACCTCGCCTGGTATACAGGAGGTCGTGGGTTCGATCCCGATCCCTGATGCCTGCTGTATATTTGGAGTTTGTGGTGCGTCTCTCTCCCCGTGGTCGCATGGATTTTTCTTTTTGTCCTCCGGCTTTTCCCCCCCTCTACATTTAGAATCAATGTCACGCGTTTTTGGCTGTTGCTATACATTTCCACCTGATAAGCCACTTCGTTGAGCTGCCATTTGTGATGGCCAGGCCGCTTCCGAAAAACTAGCAACATAGCAGCTTCGTGGGCCTTACACCGAGTAAAATACAAAAATAAAACATGTTTAATTTTAGGTTCATCTCATTATTTGTGCAACACAGCTCACGTGGAGACCCAATAGGTGAGACAACCGGTTCTGGGTTCTGTTTTTGCTGCTGCGCTGCGATCGCTTCATCTCATTCCCGTGCCGCTGTCCTGCTCACCCCATCCACCCCACAGCCGCAAGCCTCCTCCTCCTCCCAGCCAGCCAGCTAGCCCAGCGTGCACGTGGCGGTGATGTCGCAGCCGACCGTGGTGACCCAGCAGCCCGGCGTGCCGTACGCCCCGCGCGCCCAGGAGGAGTGGAACTCGGGCCTCTGCGACTGCACTGATGACATGGGCATCTGTGCGTGAGGGTGGGGGGGCAGCGAGGTGGGGTGGGGGGCAGTGGGGTGGGGGGTGCGGGGGGGGGGCAGCGGGGTGGGGTGGGGGGCAGTGGGGTGGGGGTGCGGGGGGCAGCAGGGCGGGGGTTGGAGGTTGTGGTGGGGGGGCTAATAACAGTTAAACACAGTCGGCTTTCGCAAGCAATATTATCCATGAGGGTTTTTTTTGGGTTAAATCGCATAAATATAAATGTTTACATCATATATCTTTTTTTGGGTTACATCGTGTAAATATAAATGTGTCATTAAACCCACCACCACCGGACACAGCCAATTAGTGAAGGTTTGTCATGTAAACAGAACGTGCCAATTCGTCACTAGTACAGCACACCGGTGTGTTGGAGAGTGAAGCCACAACATTTTCAATCTGGGTACCACGTTTCTCCAGTCATTACAAATAGCATCATCAGGCGGCAGCCAGATTTGTGGAAAAATCCTCCTGTTTCGTTCCATAGAGGGATAGATGTGATGACGTCACCTGTGAGCCGTTCACGTGGGAGGGTTAATGAATGCATACAAATTACAATGGGCATCGACTACCACTTGGGTCATTCATATCAACGTACATTATGTATACACATTGTTCTTGTACCTCCTGTCCCTTGTGTGCACTAATATAACAAGTACATAGGCATAGTCTGTTATTTATTCTCTTATTTATTTTATTTCTACGTGACTTTACCGAAAGAACCAAAGAGTAATTCTTGCAGTCACGAAAGCTTCAAATCAAGTCTGAACCACCTCTACAATGGAGGATTTCCAGACAACTCATACTTAACTTCAAATTTAGCAATCTTTGGAAGAACGTAGTCAACCAGGTAAAGTGTTAATTGTTGTGTTAGCCGACTCTCTGTGTTGCATTGCATTACATTTCTAAGTTTACTAGGTTTGTTTTCTCTAACTTCCAACTTCTTTCACCCTGCCGCTCTCATTGACATGCTAATTTCTCCCCCCTCTCTCTATATAATACCTGGTCACAGAGGCGTTGTCTCTGCGTGTGTGTCTCTCTCTGCGTGTGTGTCCCTCTATGTGTGTCTCTCTGTGTGTCTCTTTCTCTGTGTGTTTGTCTCACTCTGTGTGTCTCTCTCTGTGGATGTCTCTCTCCGTGTCTGTGTTTGTCTCTCTCTGTATATGTGTCTCCGAGCTTGCATTCACACCTGATGACGGTTGCTTGTGTTGCAATCGTAACGTCGTACTCTATTATTGATTTTATTAGTTGATGATTCGCTTCCAAGCAGCACTAAGCCTGTAGCTATCCGAATGGTTAAAATAAAAAAAAAATTCTCCCAGTTTCAATAGATTATCTAATTAGTCTTGGCCAGTAGTAACTATTCTTTGGTTCTTTCGGTTAAGTCACGTCTAAAGATAAAATAATAAATTAAAATAAAAGCATATTACGACGTTTCGATTGCAACACAAGCAATCGAAACGTCGTAATATGCTTTTATTTTAATTTATTATTTTATCTTTAGACGTGACTTAACCGAAAGAACCAAAGAATAATTCCTGCAGTCACGAAAGCTTCATAATTAAGACAGTAGTAACTAGTTTTGCACAGAACTTCAACATGATCAAAATCAGTTGAGTGTCCTTGTTGGCATGCGTGTTCTGCTGCTGCCGACAGTTGTATTTGGGATTATTTGATATTCCTATATGACGTTATTTTAGTCGCGTGCTGATCTTTGTTCACGGATGGTGATAAAGTCTGAGAAGTGAAATTAAACATGTTAATTTAACTTCTGAGAAGTGAAGTGAAATTAAATAATCCCAAACACAACTTGAAATTAAACTTGTTAATTTCACTTCTCAGAATATCACCACTAGATTGTGATCGTCTAAGAAGTCAAATTAAATAAGTTAATTTCACGTCTCATGTAAAAAAACGCTGCAATTGAACGGTTACAATGATGCAAAAATCAACAGGGCACTATGTCAAAACCAAATTAAATAACACGAGAGTTGAAACTGACCAAGTAATTTAAACTATTAAAATCCCGTACAATGCAGGAGTAACTGATAAACTAGCCAGATTTTGGGAAAAACAAAACATCCGAGTCAGATTTAGCATAGTACATAAAATATAGAAACGAATATCTAGTACTATAACATTTATTACCAAAGCTATCAACAGAAGGTGTGTACTGGATTCATTGCCCTTGTGGCGAATCCTATGTTGAGCAGACAGGATGAAGAATCAGCATGAGGCTAAAAGTGACGTCATCACATCTATGCCTCTTTAAGGAACGAACCAGGAGGATTTCTCCACAAATCTGGCTGTTCGCCTGCTGATGCTCGTTGCAATTACTGGCGGAACGCCGTACTCCGATTGTAAATGTTGTGGATTTGCTTTCCAGCACACCGGTGTGAGGCACATACGTTTATTCTACACTTAAACACTTCTGTTCACACACGGGATAACTACAGATGGGTCAGGACAGCCGGCACGCCGCCTGACCCACGACGCCGTAGAGACTGAGACGTAGCACGACGGGTTTCATTCCAAACGACAGCCCCGATCCAGCCTCAGGACCTCCCTTTGATGCCCCCCAGCGTGGCCTGGCTGCGCCCTCGGCCACGCCCCCTTCTGGAACCTACCAGAAGGTTCTGGGCTATACCCCACGTGTCCCCTCTGTCACCTTTGCCCTACATCCCTTACCCTGGCCTATCACGTGCCCTGTTAGCTGGGTGGTGGCGGGTTTAATGACACATATTTACGCGATCTAACCCCAAAAAAACGATATTACAAATGTCATTAAACCCACCACCACCACCCGACACAGCCAATTAGTAAGGGTTGTCACGTAAACAAAATGTGGCCAATTAGTTACTAGTCCAGCACTAACTGGTTGTGTGTTGGAGAGTAAATCCATAACATTTAGAATTCGAGTACTGTGACGTTTCACCGGTAATTACAATAACGAGCACAATCAGGCGACAGCCAGAATTGCGGAGAAACCCTCCTGTTTTGGGTGGTAGCGGGTTTCACAACACATTTATATTCATGCGATCTAACGCAGAAAAAAACTCTGTTATGGATTTCTGTGTGTAGTTTTTGGCATCTTCTCCTTTTCTGCAGACTATTTATGAGTGAGTGGGAGTGTGTGAGAGGTCGACTTAGCCGAGAGTACCTGGTGCGATGTATAACATCATCGCCACTGGGGAGTCCAAGGCGGTCGGGCGTGGTGCTTGCCACCCACCCCCTCGTGTATCGTTCTGGCCATCATAGGTGCTGCTAGCTAACAGCACTTGCCCCAACAGTCCGTTGAGGCTACATGGGAGTCTTTGTGTGTGTGAACCCCAATGGCACCTGGGTCCTGTCGCGTGGCCTCTCATGTCAGCGAGAGCCTTCAACACGTCACGTGGCCTCGGATTGCGTCTGGCCTGGCACTGGCGCCGTGGTGACGTCACCGCCACTTACTGGCGAATGGCGGCTGTTGTTGTTGTGCGTCAACCAGTCCCTGGGCTTTCCGAAGGTCGACTCCGCCTCAAATGAGGACCTGGTGTCAAGTGTAAACTAACTAACTATTTTTATTTGACCAGGTAATGCCCACTGAGATATATAGCTCTTTTTCAGAAGCGACCTGGCCGTAAATGATAGCTTAACGAAGTGGCTTATCATCATTACGTGGAAATTTATAGCATCCAGATACTCTAAACGCACGTTTCTAAATGTGAAGGGAAACACCGGAGGACCCAGAGAAAAATCCACGCGCCCACGGGGAGAGAGACACGCAAACTACAAATACACAGGCCTCAGTGTTGGGATCAAACCCACCAAGTTCCTGTATACCAGGCAAGGTAGTTAACATCTCGCCACTGCGGCACAAACATCGCCACCAGAGAAACTAAGAAAGCAGCGTGTGGTGCTGGCCACCCACCCCTTCGGGTGCTATTCCGGCCTTCTTCATAAGGTGCTCGCGAACAGCACTTGCCCCAACAGTCTGTGTAGGCTATCCGGGGGGCAGGGGGACTTTGTCTTCGTGTATGAGTGTGCTTGAGTGTGTGTGGAGGTTGTTGCGGCTGGAAACACAACCCCCCATCCTTCTCGTTGGGTGCCGGTCCGGTAACACTTTGGTGGCTGTGAGCAACGCCATTGGGGGAGAAGGGCCGATACGAGTCAGCTGTTACCCTCGTGGGCAGTGCCGGATTAAGCTAGTGCGGGGCCTGTAGCATATGTTATAATAAAAAAAGTCATAAATATTAAAACAAAATTTTAACTTGCATAGTAAATTGTATTTTTTCATTTGCTATACAGCTAGATAATACGACAAATCGCTAACCTTAAACACTCAGTCGTTCATAAAATTTCGATTTAAAGCTTTCGTGACTGCAGGGATTCATCTTCTTGGTTTTTTCGGTAAAGTGACGTAGAAGGGAAGTAATAAAAATAAAACACAATAAAATAATTCTCACGACGTTTCGGCCACAACGCAAGCAGCCGTCCTCAGGTAAAAACCAGGTCCGTCGAGGCGACAGAGTCTGAATGAAACAGCACACGAGCTTGGAGCATGTATATAAGCTGGGCGCAGCAGCAACTGCAGCAGCAGCAGCAACTGCAGCTCCCTTTGATGCTGTTAATCCTGCATAATGCACATGCATATGTAGTACTAATCACATTCCTGCATTTCCCATAAATATGCTAAATTCCTCTTGATATGCAAATTCCTTTGTCAAGGCGCCCAGCTTATATATATGCTCCAAGCTCGTGTGCTGTTTCATTCAGACTCTGTCGCCTCGACGGACCTGGTTTTTACCTATGGACGGCTGCTTGTGTTGTGGCCGAAACGTCGTGAGAATTATTTTATTGTGTTTTATTTTTATTATTTTATTACTTCCCTTCTACGTGACTTTACCGAAAGAACCAAGAAGATGAATCCCTGCAGTCACGAAAGCTTTAAATCGAAATTTTCCTGTTGTCCACCCGACAGATGTGTCCAGAGTAGTATCCAGTGTCCTTCTCTTCACTGCCTGCATTATCAGGTTGTCGTCTATCTCTGATGCAACCTTTGTCTCACTACGTTGGTTACTCTCCCATCTAAATAGTTCCAGTGTCCTCTTCGCTGTCTGCAGCTTCATGTTGTCTTCTATCTATGGTGCAACCTTTGTCTCACTACCTTGGTGACTCTCCCATCTAAATAGTTCCAGTGTCCTCTTCGCTGTCTGCAGCTTCATGTTGTCTTTTATCTATGGTGCAACCTTAGTCTCACTACCTTGGTGACTCTCCCATCTAAATCGCAGTTTGATGCGGAGCTGTCGAGTCTTCACGACAGCGTCACTCTCAGCTTGACTCGCGTGGTCACCACCCCATGTCAGGTTCACTGTTTCTGCGACGTCATTTTTGCAATTGACCAGTCCAACAAACGCGTCTGCTGAGCCGACTGACGCTGCAGGCAACTGATTTATTTGAATGCTCATTCACGTTTGCGCGATATTTTTTTAAATTTCGTATGCGACTGGAGTTGTTTGGCTGCGATGTCTCTGCTTAAACCGAGCTATGACAAATGTTTTGATATTTGCATTTCTGTTGTTGTTTGCCTGTTGGCATTGTTCTCCAGTCTAACATTGGTGCGGAGGACAAGGCCGTAACAGTATGCTGCCTCTGCCGTAGGCCGATCAGTTTCAAACACAATGCGTACATTACATGTTTTACCACAAGTATGTGTGTGGTTAATGAAGACCTGGTTAATGCCTTGCAATAGGTGTGTCTATTTGATGTTTCAACATCTTAACACCCCCCCCCCCCCCGTGTTATTTTTATCGTCGGTGTGCGGTGAGTGTCGAGTCGGAGTGCGGTGTGGTGCGTGATGTCACTTTGGGTGTGTTGGGTGAAATGTTTGCCGAGTGTTTGTTAAATGATCGGAGAGTGGTTGGTGATTGTGTGGTGAGTGTCTTACGAAGGGTTTATGACGTGGTGCTTGGGTGGTAATATTTTGGTGAGTATGTGGTGTGCCGCCAATGCTTGGCGAGTGGCTGGCGAGTTTGCCGTGAGTGTTTGGTGAGCTTCGTGCGTGACGTGCCAGCAGGCTGGGGAGCGGTGGCGAAGCGGTTAGCGCGCTTGCGATTCCAACCCGGCGACCCGATTTCGATTCCCGCTCACGACCAACACCAGTGACGATTATCTGAATGGGTCCTGGACCTCCCCTAGGTCGACTCAGCCTCAAATGAGTGCCCGGTGCACTGCGTAAACATTGCCACTTGGGAGTCAAACGCGGTCGGTCGGTCGGGCGTGGTGCTAGCAACTCACCCCCTCACATGCTGTGCCGGCCTTAATAGGTGCTCGCTAACAGCACTTGCCCCAACAGTCTGTTAAGGCAATTATTTGTATGTTACCAGGTAAGGATGACTGAGCTATGCAGCTCTTTTTTAGCAGCGACCTGGCCACAAATGATAGGTCCACGGAAGTGGCTTATCATCCCGTGGAAATTCATAGCAGTAGCCAAACATATCTACGGATGGGTGACGGCGATTCCAATTGCGGAGGGCGACAAAGCCGGAGGACCACGGAGAAAAATCCTCGTGACCACGGGGAGAGCGAGAGATATAACACGCAAACTCGGGTGCTGTTAGCGAGCAACTATGAAAGCCGACATGGTGGTTGGCCATCACCACGTCCGGCCGCCTTTGTCTCCCCAGTCCTGATGTTCAGACGCACCAAAGACAAAGATCCCCAGTATAGCCTGAACAGACTGTTGGGGAAAGTGCCGCTGGCGAGCATCTAGAAAGGCTGGAACGGCACACGAGGGGGTGGGTGGTCAACACCACGCCCGGCCGCCTTTGTCTCCCCAGTGCTGTTCACACACACCACAGCAGATAGGACGGACTCATTTTAGGCCGAGTCGACATAGGGGAGGCTCCACGGCCTTTGCAGGCATTCGACGTCTTGGTCGTGAGCGGGAATCGAAATCGTGTCGACGAGTTCGTAGCGCGGCGCGCTAACCACTGCGCCAACACTCCCCATACACGCATGTGCTTGCGTTGAACTTCTTTCGCGCCGCACGTGGCCAACCGCGCTTATCGTCGTCTTCTGTCGCCCGCCAGGCTGCTGTGGGCTGTTCTGTTTGCCGTGCCTCGAGTGCCGCGTGGCGAGGGACTATGGCGAGTGCTGCTGCTTGCCATTGTTGCCCGGCACCAGCTTCTCCATACGCACCGGCATACGGGAGCGTTACCATATCGAGGTGAGGGACCGCCACTTCCACCCGTTTTTTTGTTGTTATTTTTTTTTCCACTTCCAGGTAAGGCTCCACTGAGCTATACAGCTCTCTGTGTGTGTGTGTTTTTCCCAGAAGCGACCTGGCCATCACAAATGACGACTCGCCGAAGTGGCGGCTCGTCATCGTGTGGAGGTTTATTGTCTTAGCCGAATACGCTCCTCTCAAGGCGCCCAGTCGCACCGTTAGCGCCACTGTGGGGTAACGCTGCACTCGCAAGCCGCAATCTCTGCTGTAGAGAGAGAGACGAGAGAGAGACGGTACCAGGGTGGGTCAGGTGGGTGGGTGGGTTGGCTATGGGTGGGTGGGTGGGATGGGTATGGGTGGGGAGGGTATGGGTGGATGGGTGTTTTTTTTGCATTCGACTGCAGGAATTGTGGTTAATGAAAACATGATTCCTTGTAAAAAAGGCTTCAGTTTTGTTGCCAGAAAAAAGGGTAAAAAAAACTATTATTATTATTATTCTTAGAGGATGTTTGTTTGCATGTTTTGCCACAAGTATGTGTCGTTAATGCAGACTTGATTCCTGGCAAAAGGTATCTATTTGGTGTTTGGACATCTTAACACCTTTCGATTTAAAGCTTTCGTGACTGCAGGAATCCATACTCTTTGGTTCTTTCGGTAAAGTCCGAGATTTGTTCATGAAGCCATCCAGATATATAAACACAGGCACAACTTCAACCGAGAAGATGGGTACAAACTGAGCAATCATTGGAAGGACGTTATTAACCAGGTAAAGTCTTAACTGACTGTGATGTTTCCACCTGCCTAGGTCAGCTGTTATTTCCGACTCTCTGAGTACATCACCAGGCTAAATATCCGTGAGGCTGCCTCGCCGCCTCCTGTGGCCGAGACCGTCACACATTGACACGCAAATCTCTCACATTTACATTTACTTACAAATTCCTTCTTTAGCTCCGCCCACTTACCCTTGGGTTGAGCCCACCAAAACCCTTTATAACTCTTGTTGCAGCAGCTTTTTCTCCTATGTCAGCAGTTCACCTGCTGTATCTGTTCCACCTGATGACGGTCGCTGGTGTTGCGATCGAAACGTCGTGATCTATTAATTTTCTTCCTACGTGACTTTACGGAAAGAACCAGAGTACATGTTGTATTGCCAGAAAGGGTTGGACCTATTCGTATGTCAACATTATGCAACATCCAATTCAGACGTTGGTAAAAATGTCAGCCGAGTGGCAGTTGCGACATATGAGCCTCTCGCATGCGAACGACACTGATGGCTTGCTTCCAAGGTAAACGAGCGCAATGATCTTGCGATCATCGTGCAGCGTTACTGTCACGTTTCTACTCGACCTATTGCCAAGCGCAAAGCCACAAACAGCGAGTGCAAGGGCGTGCCTTCAAGGGAATGCGAAACTTGGCCGCAAATGAACGATTCAAAGAAAGTAGATGGATCCTGTCCAGTCGGCTCTCTATCCATGCTATTGGCCTACAAGGCTGCCACAATGGCTTAGCCCCCACATTACTTACAGGTACTGATCCATTTACTGCATATACACCAGTACCGGATTATCATCGTAGCAAAAGTAGCTACATATACTACGGGCCCCGCACTTTCAAGGGCCTCCGCGCTAAATGCTTTCAAGTTATCGATGTCAGTTCAATGATTCTGCACTTGCTCTATGACTATAGTACTAGACTGCCTTCAACTTTTATGAACGACTGGGTGTTTAAGGTTAGCGATTTGTCGTATTATCTGGCTGTATAACAAATGAAAAAATACAATTACTTTACTGTGCAAGTAAAAATATTGTGTTTTAATATTTACGTGTTTTTCTTCTATTTAGGGCCCCTTTATAACATATGCTACAGGCACCGCACTAGCTTAATCCGGCACTGATTTACAACACCAATGAGGACCTTGAGATCTTATGATCTCTTTCTCAGTTTTCCGAGGTCAAGGCTCCGTTCCTGGGGGCAATCGGGGCTTTTGCCAGTGCAGCTCCGAGACTGTGGAACGCGTTGGCCTCCTGACAATGAGACAATTCAGAATCTTTAGAGATTTTTTTTTAATCTCTCCTTGAAAACTCACCTCTTTAAGATGGCATTTTCCGCCGTAGTTTTTGTCACTTTATGGCTGGCTCCATCTTATTTTTCTGCTTTCCATACATGGTAGCGCGTTGGCTTCCTCAAATGAAATGCCAAAACTATTTTAATAATATTTGCAAAACTTACATTCCATAATATGGTTAATAAAAATTGGGTTAGATTGCATTAATATCAAAGTGTCGTTAAACCCGCCACCACCCCGGCCACAGCCAATTAGTAATGGTTTGTCGTGTAAACGAAATGTAGCCAATTAGATACTAGTTCAGCACTAACCGGTTGTGTGAAGAGTAAACCCACTGCAACATTCACAATTCGAGTACTTTGACGATTCGCAGGTAATTACAACAACAATCAGCTTCGTAAGGCGATATCCAGAATTTGTTCACCAACAACAATAATAATCATGATGATGATGATGAAAAATAAGAACAGATTTTACCCTTTCTGGAAATAAAACAGGAGTTGTGTTAAGATGTTCAAACACCAAATAGATGCATATTTCAAGGCGTAAAGTCTGCATTAACCACACATACTTGGGAAAAAATCATGCAAACACATGCTATGATAATTATGTATGCATTGTTTTTAAAACTAATTGGCCTACACCAGAGACAGCCTTCTAAAACCTATTCTTATTTTTCAGTATTTTGTATGCTGGCAAAAAGGGTATCCCAAAGATAGAACTGCTCGACTCTAGCTGGAAGTGTTCTGACACTTGCATTGTGTTTCTATTGTTCACCTGTTGGGGTTCTCTGGTCTAACACTGGTGGTGAGGCAAGGCCACAAATGAGGCTGTTTCTGGCGTAGGCAAATCAGTTTCAAAGACAACGCGTACATGATTATCAAACAAGGCCGTAGCCATGGAGTCAATATTGGGGGGGACCAAATCTTACAGGGGGTCTAGGGCCCCCCCCCCCCCCAGAAAAAAATATCTAAATTTGAAAACGAATTTCCTGCCTAAAATATAAAAAAATTCACTAACACATGGGATGGACTTTTTATTTATTTCTTACAATAATGTCTAATAGTGTATTGTATTGTATTGCTTCGTTTTTTCTTTTTTACATTTTCTTGTTTCATTGTATGTAATGGCAGAGATTAGGGCTTAATAAAGTACAACCATAACTACAATAATATCAACAGAAATCTATGCATTGTTATATGAAGACAAGTCCAATTATTGTGGGCAAGGTTTAGCAAATTGTTTATATTTGCATAGCAATTTTTTTTATATTGTTTATAGCAATATATTGGGGGGGGGGGACATTTTGAGCATATTTGAATATTGGGGGGGATGTGTAATTACGGCCTTGTTATCAAAGCATGTTTGTTGGCATGTTTTGCCACAAGTATGCTCTGATAATATACGCATTGTCTTTGAAACTGATAATGACTTGGATATTAATTTACATTTACGGGGTGCCCGTGAACAATGCATCTCAGATGCACAGCGCGTACAACGGAACGAGTGAGACGCAGCCGGAGAGAGAGACTAACGAGACAGACGGAGATCCTGAGAGATACTTGGGGGGGAAGGGGGGGCGTGTTAATCAGGCGTCGTGGGGGTCATCAACCGGGAGACTTTTTGTCTCACATCGACCGCTGGTTGCTGAGCCTCCTGCAGTGTAGAGACAAAAGCCCCAAGGCTGGGAGTGCGGTGCGGTGAGTAGTTAATGGATGGATCTGGGACTCGGATCTTCTATTTTTGCATCAGACCTACTGCGAAAGAGCCACCTTCAGAATCAGAATATCGATTTATGCTGGAGGAATTCGACGAGCTATGAAGCTCATCTTCACAGATGTCCAGTCGGGGCACGGGATAAGAACGTGACAACAACAACCAGTTACAAAACACGGTAGGAGTGGAAAGTACAAGAAAGGTAAACAAATCACCCAAACACAAACAAATACAACACTCAACCATACAGATAAAACAAAAGACAAAGCCCACTGAGGTATGAACTCAAAAGCGACCTGGCTAAAACTCAAATGATAGCCACTCAACAAAGTGGCTTAAAGGGCCGTCCATAAATGACGTCACGCACCTAGGGGGGTGGCGGTCAGACATTTGTGACGATGTATGACGGGGGGGGGGGGTGGTTGAGAAATGTGACGTCACATCAAAATGCGCAACTTTAAATAAATATAGACAACACGTTCTACTTAATTAAATATACTTTAATACATGTTTTCTCCTACAACATCAGATTGCAGCGGCACATTAAATACGCACTACAATGACAATAGTTTAAAGCGATTTGAAGCATGTTTTATTTTCAAAACGGAAATATGGTTTTGGGAGGAGTGGGGGGCAGAGCTTTGTGACGTCATATTTGAGGGGGGGTCTCACTTTTTGCGAGGCCGCGTGACGAGGGGGGGAGGGGTCAAAAATCGTCCAAAATCGCGTGACGTCATTTAGGGACGACCCCTCACATCTGTCGGTCAAGACGAGACGGCTCAGGTTGGTAGGGCACGGCGTGTGTTGGCTACGCGCGTGCGCTTGCTCCGCGGCAGGTGTCGCGATAGCGCTGCACGCCCCCGGTGTTTAAAGCAAAAAACTAATTGATTAGAATCCAAGGGCAGTGTTGGTGCCGTTTCGTATTCCGCTTCTTTTTGTCCTTTTGCTGAGACCTGGCTTGATAGTGTGCAGATTGTGTGGTCAACGGTGCCCTGTAACAGCAGACCTTCGGAGACTGGATCCCTGGGTCGTTTTGAACCTCGATAAACTTTTAAAAACAGAGTAATGCAAAAGAACGGGTTGTGTAAAAATGTCCTAGGCACAATTGTCACAGCAATAAACCATTCAAGGTTACTCTCTGATTCTTTCGGTAAAGTCACGTAGGTATAAAATAAAATTAAATCACGACGTTTCGATTGGAACACAAGCAATCGTCATCAGGTGGGAAAACCACAGCAAGAAATATGTTTTGCTGAAGTGGGAGAGAGATGCCGACTACGGCATGCCGACCACGGCATCTATCTCCCACTTCAGCAAAACATCTTTCTTGCTGTGGCTTTCCCACCTGATGATGATTGCTTGTGTTGCAATCGCAACGTGATTTATTTTTATTTTATACCTACGTGACTTTAGCGAAAGAACCAGAAAGTATGGATTCCTGAAGTCACGAAAGCTTCAAATCAAGACATTCAAGGTTAATGAGCCCCGATATGAATCACGTGACGATCGTAAATACTGCCACCAAGTCTCTCTGAGCTGTGTCCTTTCTCAAAGATGTCGGTGATCATGGCCTTCTTTAGGTTTAGCTCTGTCCATAATATTACTCAAGGACCTGTTCGTCTATTGGTATTGTTAGTTTTTGGGCAATGTTAGTCAATGGGCAATGTTAGTCTACGGGCAATGTTAGTCTCTGGACAATGTTAATCTATGGGCGATGTTAGTCTATGTGCAATGTTCGTCTATGAGCAATGTTAGTCTATTGGTAATGTCAGTCTATGGGAAATGTTAGTCTATGGGCAATGTTAGTCTATGGTGCAATGTTAGTCTATTGGTAATGTCAGCCTATGGGAAATGTTAGTCTATTGGTATTGTTAGTCTTTGGGCAATGTCAGTCTATGGGAAATGTTAGTCTATGGGCAGTGTTAGTCTATGGTGCAATGTTAGTCTATGGTGCAATGTTAGTCTATGGTGCAATGTTAGTCTATTGGTAATGTCAGTCTATGGGCAATTTTAGTCTATGGGCAGTGTTAGTCTATGGGCAATGTTAGTCTATAGTGTAATGTTAGTCTATGGTGCAATGTTAGTCTATGGTGCAATGTTAGTCTATTGGTAATGTCAGTCTATGGGCAATGTTAGTCTATGGGCAGTGTTAGTCTATGGGCAATGTTAGTTTATGGGCAATGTTAGTCTATGGCGCAATGTTAGTCTATTGGTAATGTTAGTCTATGGACAATGTTAGTCTATGGACAATGTTAGTCTATGGGCAATGTTAGTCTATGGACAATGTTAGTCTATTGGCAATGTTAGTCTATGGGCAGTGTTAGTCTATGGGCAGTGTTAGTCTATGGGCAATGTTAGTCTATGGACAATGTTAGTCTATGGGCAATGTTAGTCTATGGGCAGTGTTAGTCTATGGACAATGTTAGTCTATGGGCAGTGTTAGTCTATGGGCAATGTTAGTCTATGGACAATGTTAGTCTATGGGCAATGTGAGTCTTATCTCTTTATGTGCCGCGCCCTTTCCGAAAGAAGTCGGTGAACTTGGCCTTACTTTTATGTAGTTCTGCCCATGGTAATGACTCAATAAAGTTGTCCCCGATGCTCCCAGTTGCATCCAATCGTTAAAATGGGTTGTGGTGCAACTCAACCACTGGCAGCGCCAGTGTGTGGGGGGGGGGGGGCAAGTGCCCCCACAATGATCCGATCGAAATACCTAATTTTGATCGGATCATTAGGGTTTATTAGTAATAAATCGGGATTTTGCGACCCCCTCTGCTACTGTGAAGCATATTATTACGTGCCAGGAACTCTATGAGATGATAGGACAATAGTCTGTGTCCATAATTGGCAATAAGTAATGGAAAAGCAGTTATAATTGACTCAGAATTGTGCGCAGTTGCATATACAGCACACGACTTCCCTGAAGGCATCAACACCTTCAGCGAGCGCGATGCCGATCACACAACGCGGTTCGAATTCGACCCTCGATCGATGGCTGCGCCATCGCCTCACACGCGTCGAATAAAAAGCAAGGGACAAGTCCTTACTTACCAACAACTCCTATCATTTTTAATTGTTGGTGGGGTTGCCCCCCCCCCATCCTGAAAATCCTGGCTCCGCCATTGCCAACAACCCCCGCTTCTTGTAGTATAACTTTCCAGTCATCTCCGATTAGCACGGTCGGCTACGTACGGCGCGAAAGAAGTTCAACATACACACACGCATTCATACCTAGTCTCTTGTTTTCTCGACGACGTGGTCAAGAAACCGACCCCTGCCACCAGGTGACATTTGAAACGTAGCTCGGAGTAGGAGATGGATAACGTCCGTAAAACCGCCCGCAATGCGCACATGTTTATTCCCCATACCGCAGTGACCCCCCCCCCGCATTAGCCACCACACCGCCCACACTACCCGTGCCACCAATGTATCCACACCGCCACTGCTGCTTTGCACGCGACCTCCTTCTGGCTACATCCAGGTATAGGAGGTCTTTGACCGCATGGCGTGAGAAACGCGCATTTCTGTGCGTGGGAGGCAATTCCAGAAGGTTTGCAAACCTCATCTGTATTGTGAGGTGTGCCAATTTCGGAACGGCGAGTGGCTGTTGTAATGTTGAGGGCGCGTTCTACCAGGAACTTGTGTTTCAACCACCACCACCACCACCACCACGCTGCATGCCACAACACGGCCGCTTCTGCTGCTTTTCCTCACACTACTCGACTTTGGAATTCCCTCCCAGGATGAGCGGAGTTCACGCAATCTCCGCTCATCCTCGCAGCAGCAGCGGCGGGTGGCTTTTGGCTGGCCATCGAACAAAAACAGTGACCGCATTGCGCGGCACTTTCGGATGTGCTCATGCGGCCGTCTGGAACGCTCTTCCTTCCGATATTAGGAAGCCACTGGAGCTGTGTACTTTTAAATCAGATTTAAAATCTAGATGATGATGATTTAAGCATCGATATACGGTGCTTTTTCTGGAAGACTTTGCTGTTTTTTCCTGGATTTTTCTGTTTGCGCGTAGTCACTTTAAGATGTTTCTTGTTCATGTTTTTGTTTGTTGCGGTTGCACCCGATTCAAGAGCCGAATGGCTCACAGGGCTATACCTGATAAATGAAAAATGTTTTTTTTTCTTTAGAATTTTTGTGTTTAGTTTTTTGTCCTTCCGCCGGACCTCCGATTATCACGGTTGGCAACTACGGTGCGAAAGAAGTTTAACATACATACATACCCAAGCTGTTATCATGAAGAATATCAACATAGTGAGAGCCGAGGCCGTGGTGGCGGCTTTGCCTGTGGCCTGTAACCCAGCACTGTTGGAGGCAGCAGCAGCAGCTGCAGCAGGGGGATTGGTGGATCACAACACAGATGATGCAAAGCTCTCTTCCCGTGAGCGTCGAGGAGGAGCCGTGTGAATGTTGAACTTCTTTGTCACCATACGTAGCCAACGGCGCTAATCGGAGGTACGGACGACAACGCGTGGACTAATCCCCATCTGTTCCAACTCCATTTTCTGTGAGCGTTGAGGAGGAGCCGTTCCCGGCCAGGCATAGTGCTGTCCAGCAACCACCCCTTCGTGTGCCACCGCGCCAGCCCCATAGGTGCTGCTACTCCCTACTAACAACACTTGCCCCAACAATCTGTTAAGGCTATACGGGGGGGGGTGTCTTTGTCTTTGTGTGTGTGCGTGTGCAGGGCACGGTGTGCCGTGATTGGGTCCACCTGGCATGCTGCTTTTCGTGCGCCTTGTGCCAGACTGCGCGGGAGCTCAAGCATCGGCGCGCGCAGGCGAACGTGGTCACCTACCGCGGATAAGAGGGCATCGCCATCATCACCACCACCATCGTCATCATCATGATTAGCACTATCATCATAGAACAACCATCATCATTACCACCACCACCACCACCTACATCACCACCACCAGTACCATCGTCAACATCATAAAACAACCATCACCTTCATGATCATCATCATCATGATCATCATTACCACCGCCATCATCATAGAGCCACCACCAACAACCTACATACAACAACCACGACTATCATCACCACCGCCATCATCATAATCATCATCACCACCACCATCATCATAGAACCACCACTAAAACCTACGTACAACCACCAAGATCAGCATCATCCTGAAACACATGCCGGGTGGATGCCGTGTGCGTGGATCGGGCTTCAAGGGAACACTTCTGCGCACGGGCAGCGGAGACACAATCACCCCACTCCCGCCCCGTGTTCGAAAAGAGCCCCGCTGAAGTGGCTGTGTGCACACACGCTTCGGATTTAGTTTTTGGCATCGAGATCCGTGAAACATATATATTGTTGGAATTATCCGCAGACAATTGAGAGCCTCGTGCAGTACGGGTTCACCACGTGGATGTCACGAGGGGCACGGCACTGACAATCGGCAATCGGTGCCTCCCAACATCCCCACTCCACCGCCACAACTGCATGTCTATCTGTCTGTGTATTTAACTTCTTTTTTATCGAAAGTAGCCAACCGCGGTGGTGCAGTGGATAGCGCTACGCTGCGCTTTGAACCTGGCGACCCGATTTCGATTCTCGCTCACGGCCAACGCTAGTGACGATTATTTGAACCGGTCCTGGGCCTCCCCTAGGTCGACTCAGCCTCAAAAATGTACCTGGTGCGGTGTATAAACATCGCCACGAGGGAGACAGCAGGTCGGGCATGGTGCTGGCCACCCACCCACCCCCTCGTGTACTCTGCTGGCCTTCATAGGTGCTACTCGCTAACAGCACTTTCACCAACAGTCTGTTAAGGCTATATGGGAGCTCTTTGTCTTTCTGTTGAAATCCTTTCGTCCCGTGCGTAGCCAAACCGCGCTAATCGGAGGTGCGGGACATCGCGTGTGTTTTGTGGCACGCCAACTCTGCACGCCTCTGTGTTATGCACTTTTAAATCACCTCGATTGAAAACGCATTTCTTTAGAACTGCTTTTGGCGTGTTTAGTTTGTCGTGCTTCCACCCCCCCTCCGCACACCTCCGATCTATCACGGTAGGGCTATGTACGTTGCGAAAGAAGTTCTACTACGTACATAGGCCCACGCGTGTGTGTGCTGTCGAATCTGTTTGTGTTTCCGGCAGCCTGAATGGATGTTTCCGTTACGATGGGGCTTTACAGATTTGCAAGGTTGAACTCCGCAGCCACTCGTCACGTGTAGCCACCACCCCGCAGTTTCCAAAATGTAGCTAGCCGATCGTCTCGGCTCGGTCACCCACTGACTCACCGAGAGACACGTAGCCTTACATAGAGACCCATCTGATACAGGGAGCTTCAAACAAATACCACAAGAAATGTGACGCCACCGGGCTCTGGAGACCACCTGGAGAAGATTCCAGGGCATGTGTTGACAATGATGGCGAACAAGTGGAGACTCTTTGAGTTTTCGAAGCTATGAACATTACATTTGTTATCATGTTGCAGTGTGTTATCCATTAAAAACAATAGCCCATGTAAGCGTTAACATTGTTTTGAAGCACCAAGCATATATGGAGAGGTATAAACTCGCACACACGCACACATTGAGTTGTCACCACTCAGACTCATAGCCACCACTCTGCCCGTTGAATTGTAATTGTCTTCAAGAAACGAGACGCAATATGTGGCAATGTGGCTGCTGTCGCCGCTGTTACTGCGTTGGCAGTGGTGCACAACCACAAACCCTCAACACGCTCGTCAGATACAACCCTGTGACCCCGAAAGGAACACAGGATGTCGAGGTGATGTGTGCGGTTGGGCTTCTTTCACGCACCGTACGTGAGCCAACCGTGCCAATAGGTGGTTGCGACCTATGGGTCTTGAAGGGCCATCGTCTAAAATAATCGTGCCGGCGTGTGCGTAAACCGTAAGATGCAAAACGGCTAAGGCTAAAGATCCCGCGTTTAGCGCCGTTGGCAACGTACGTTGCGACAGAAGTTCAACATACATACACATCCACACACACACGATTTACTTAGAAACCTTTTTACCGAGCCGTTGTGCCTACCCCCCTCCCTCCGTCACGGTCTAATCTTTTGCCGAATTATTACATTTAATAAAATGACTCCATTTGGAAATCGTTGACTCAATTCTGCGAACGCCTGTCAGGAAACCCTCCTGCTCGAGTCTTGAGGCTCGTGGAGGCTTTACTGCAGGCTAATCGAGCGGAGTGATGAACAATACCATGTTTTCTTTTAGGTCGGTGTGAATAGTGAATTTATTGCTTTTTTTAATTCACCAGGCAAGGCCCGCTGAGCTGTGTAGCTCTTCATGCAGAAGCGACCTGGCTGTCACAAACAATAGCTCAACGAAGTGGCCGATATCGCCATGGCGCGTAAATGTATAGCACGAGCTAAATATTCGGAACGAGTGACGTAAATGTATAGCACGAGCCAAATATTCGGAACGAGTGACGTAAATGTATAGCACGAGCCAAATATTCGGAACGAGTGACGTTGATCCACGCGACCACGGAGAGAGAGACGCAAACTCCAATTATACAGCAGAAGGCATCAGGGTCGGGATGGAACCCACGACCTCCTGAATACCAGGCGAGGTAGTTAACATCTCCTAGCCACCGTGGTCGCCACGGATTCCCCTCATTTGCCCCGTTTGTACCGTCTCGTTCGTATTCATTGCGTGTTTAATCTCGCCTGGAGTTAAGTTCGCTTCCACGGCTCGCCAAAACGAAACGGTCACGCGTCAGATCGGACGAGTCGTAAACGAATCAATTTCTTTGTTTATCTATCGCCAGTGTAAGAATGTATTGAGAATCATCGACTTGTTATGACTTGCCTATTGTATCGCGCTTTTTTGTTGCATAACGTGCACCGAATTCCCTTTGGCGCGTACACTGATGATTGCGGTGTACACTGATAATGATTACGGTGTACACTGATAATGATTACGGTGTACACTGATCATATTTACGGTGTGCTTTCAGTTGCTACTTTGATTTTTGAGTGAATAAAAAAACAAAACGGATCCCCTCGTGCCGCTGTCAGAGCCTCGCCGAGTGTTCGTGAATGTGGTAGCCGTTTCGTCTGTGGGCAATACGTTCACGTGCGTGTTGAACTCCTTTCGCTCCGTACGTAGCCAATCATGCTCATCGAAGGTGCGGGCAATGATGGCTACACTCTGCTGATGTGTCCCGGTCACAATGAGACCGGTGATACTAAACCTTGTCTTTGTGCTACATAAATGATAAATGGCCACATCATGATTGTGACAAGCTACCTCTCTGAGATGCAATTTGTGGTAGCTATATTGCAGCTCAAATGGGCCTTACCTCGTCAAACAAAAAAAGTGTAATAATAGGATTTTCTCCTTTTTTCTGGCAACAAAACTGAAACCTTTTTACAAGGATTCATGTCTGCATTAACCACAATACTTGCAGTCAAAATGCAAAAAACCCACTAATAATATATGCATTGTCCTTGAAACTGATTGGTCCACACCAGAGACAGCTTTCTTTTGAGTCTCGTCTCAATTGGTGCTCGGCCAGATTTTGGTACTGGCAAAGGAGGTCTAATGATATAAAAAAGTGTAGTTTGTTAACCAGGATGGCCTGCGCGGATTTGAACGCGAACCTCTGCAACAAGTGACTAACGCGCTACCGCAGGGCCACCGTGCGCGCACCAAACCGATTTAATCATCTTCGCACGTGATCATGCCGGCATTCCCGTCACATTGTGCCGTTTTAAGGCACCTTGTTTGTTCGTATAATCTACTTACACGAAGCACATCGCACGCAAGAACAGTTCCCAACCTAAATGGGGTCATTCTGCCCACTCTACGGCCAAATTGCCGTATTCCTCCCCGCAGGTGCCAATGTAAGCCAATCACAGCTCGGTCACGCCAAATTGACTGCTGCGCACGTGCACCTGCAACCAGTGGGCGTTGAGACGGCGAGACGACGCTCAATCGCGGCAGTCATCCCATTATCATCACGGTCGAAGAACTCAACTAAATCGATTTTTTTATTTTACCAGGTAAGCCCCCACTGAGCTATGTAGCTCTCTTTTTGCAGAAGCGATCTGGCCACAAGTCATCGCCCAACCAAGGGGCTTATCATCATGTGGACATTTTTATCAGCCAAATACCCTAAATCAGTGGTTCTTCTTAACCTGGGGTGCAGGCATTCCCTGGGGGTGCGAGACACGGGCAGATTTTTTTTAGAAGGTAAATCATCGAAGCACAAATTAAGCACATGCACGTAAGTACAACTACTTTTATTCTTTGGTTCTTTCGGTAAAGTCACGGAGATAGAAAAATTATGACAAAAAATAAAGTGAATAAAAAAATAAAGTATACTGTAGCCTGGTTCTTAACCTTGGTGAGTATATTGGTAGTCTATAATGTAAACTGTAGCCTGGTTATTAAGCTGGGTGAGTGTACTGGTTGTCTATAATGTAAACTGTAGCCTGGTTATAATGTAGACTGTAGCAATGGTTATTAAGTTGGGTGAGTGTACTGGCAGTCTATAATGTAGACTGTAGCCTGATTCTTAACCTTGGTGAGTGTACTGGCAGTCTATAATGTAGACTGTAACATGGTTGTTAACCTTGGTGAGTGTACTGACAGTCTACAATGTAGACTAGCCTGGATATTAAGCCAGGTGAATGTACTGGCAGTCTATAATGTAGACTGTAGCCTGGTTCTTAACCTTGGTGAGTGTACTGGTAGTCTATAATGTCGACTGTAGCCTGCTTATTAAACTTAATGAGTGTACTGGCAGTCTATAATGTAGACTGTAGCAATGGTTATTAAGCTGGGTGAGTGTACTGGCAGTCTAATGTAGACTGTAGCCTGGTTCTTAACCTTGGTGAGTGTACTGGTAGTCTATAATGTAGACTGTAGCAATGGTTATTAAGCTGTGTGAGTGTACTGTCAGTCTATAGTGTAGACTGTAGCCTAGTTCTTAACCTTGGTGAGTGTGCTGGCAGTCTATAATGTAGACTACATTCTAGATTGCCAGTACACTCACTCCGATTATCTAAATGGCGGAGGGGAAAATCCGAGGGCTCGGAGAAAATATCTACGCGACCACAGGGAGAGGGACATGCCAGCTCCAAAAATACAGGCGCCAGAGTCGGGGTCGAACCCACGACCTCTTCTATTCCAGGCGAAATAGTTAACATCTCGCCACTGCAGCGCCCTGTCCAGCACTCCGAGAATATATTGTAGCACATCAACAATAGCCGCCATTCGCCACTAAGTGGCGGTGATGTCCCACGATGCCTGTGCCAGGGCCGGTGCACTCTGAGGCCACGTGAAGTGGCGAAGGCTCGCTGGCAGATGGTCACGGGACAGATGCAGGTTCCATGAGTTGACCGAGATGACTGGCAGATGCACGATGCTCTCCACTGCGCCAAATTGCTGTATCTTAGCCACCCGGCGTCCCGCTCGCTGTCGCTGTTGTGAGCGTCGCTCCTCCGCCCTCTGCTGTTGCTGGAGGGCGACTGCCTCCAGCTTCCCAGTAGCGTCCTTCACGAGCCTCCTCCACAGAGGCTGATCTGTGACCACTGCACAATGTACCAGCGACATTGTACGATTTCACTTCTGATCTAATTGAATACATTTGGCAATAGGGTTTGGTTATTGAATGGTGTGGCTGTTACCCAACAGCTACTAGTAGTCTTGATTTGAAACTTTCGTGACTGCAGAAATTCATACTCTCTGGTTCTTTCGGTAAAGTCACGTAGTTAGAAAAAATGATACAATAAAACACGACGTTTCGGTCGCAACACAAGCACCCTTTTCTCACATGAAGACGGACGCTTGTGTTGCGACCGAAACGTCGTGTTTTATTTTACTTTATTATTTTTGCTTCTATCTACGTGACTTTACCGAAAGAACCAGAGAGTATAGCTACTAGTAGTGTCACTACTCATATGCCGATTTAAACAATACTTGTCATCAGAAGACGTGGTGTAAAGTGGCAGTATCCAACTCTTATGATCCACTCTCTCTCTCTCTCTCTGGTCTCTCTACTTACGTGCTATCGTCTTCGTATGGCTGGTGCTGATGTAGTGCAATGGTTCTTAACATTTGCTGCAGCCGGCACCCCTTTGGTTCTCAGGAATGGCATCGCGCACCCCCTGGTTAAGAGCCACCGATGTGGAGCGACAACTAGTGGCGGATTAAACTAGTGCCGGGCCTGTAGCATATTTTATAAAGGGGCCCTAAAAAAACATACCTATTTTTAACTTGCATAGTAAAATAATTTATTATTTTCATTTGCTACAGCCAAATCATACGACAAATCTCTAACCTTAGACACCCAGTCGTTCATAAAAGTTGAAGGGCAGTATAGTACTATAGTAATAGAGCAAGTGCAGAATCACTGAACCGGAATTGATAGCTTGAAAGCATTTAGCGCGGGCCCTTGAAAGGGCCCGCAGCTACTACATATGTAGCGACTTTTGCTCCGAGAATAATCCGGCACTGGCGGCAACCTCTCATTTCACGCTGAGCAGGTTGGCCCGGATAATTGCGCCAGCAGCGGCGGAGTGTTTTGCTGTGACAATGCCTCAGCCGCGTCTGTGAATCGGACAATGAAGTCGTTATACGACCCACTGCGGTTTCTGCCAGGTTTCCAATTTCGGAGAGTTTGTGTTTATTTTACACGTGTGTGTGCGTATCGATCATCCACCGCACCTGTCATGGTTTTGTGTGGATGCGGTTTGGGGTTGCCTATAAGATCGACGGAAGATCGTAGCCGGGGATGTTCTGCGTTGCGTCTGTCTCGAGTCGTGTGTGACTTCTTGTGAACTCCGTTCTCGGGCTGTCCGAGCTCCATCAGGTTTGCCGTGTTGCATTTGGTGACGGGGGAACGAGATTGGGTTCCAAAGGGCGTGTGCCGAGGCCGAGTTAGACTTCGACATATTTGGCGGTGTGGGATTTCACTTTGACCCTCAAATATTATTTACAACCGAAACTACCGTTGCCTGTTCAAATTCATTACCCTGATTTAGAAATCCCTTCGCGGTCTTGCCCCCACCGTATCTTGCCACTCTTGTATCTTGCTACGTGTCGCCTTCTCTCTCTCTCTCTACGTTCTCACTCTTTGCTGCCTCTCTCTGTTCTTCCTTCACCTTGTGCTCAATCCACGCTGTCGCTTTCTCACTCTTCTCGCCCCCCCCCCTCTTCACCTTCACTGGATCAAACTTCCCCCTCCACATTAGGCGGCCACCTTCGCTCAATAAGTTCCCGCTCCTCACTTCTTGTTACCCCGAGCTCACGACCCCCCCTTAATCTTCCCCCTCATAACCACCACAAATACCACCGTTACTGTTCCCTCTTCACATTCTTATTACACGGCTATCACTCATTAAACACATTCATTCAATCTTTTCACCATCATCTACTCTCAGAATAATGATTATTCTCATTACACGGCTATCACTCACGAACTCCATTCATTCAATCCATTCATCATCATCATTTACTGCCATCAATTTCGCTCTCACCGAATTCACGCGTCACATATTCACCACTATTTCTTCCTCGCTTCTGTTTCATTCACCTCATTTACCACCATTACATTGACGCACACGTTATTCTGCTGTTCTTAATTCTGTAAAGCGACTTGGTTAGGGCGCTGTATAAATTACGTTAAGATAAGTTGAGGGGTCATGGGAGATTATAACATGTAGTCCAGCTTCACTCCTGGGGTAGGTCAGAGTTGGGTCACGTTGCACAGTGTTGACACAAACATGGACACTCCAGGGTGCGCTTGAGCATTCCTGCTATCGAGATGAAATCCATCCGTGGAACCTTTTTTGGCAGTATCCAAAATTATGAAAAGAAAAATTAAATAAAAAATAAGAATTGGTTGGACCCTTTCTGGCAATAATACAGTTGTGTTTTGATGTTCAAACGCCAAATAAGATACCGTTTGCAAGGCATCACGTCTGTATTAACCACATGTACTTGTGGCAAAACAAGCAAACATGCTCTGATA